AAGCAGTGGTATCAACGCAGAGTACTTATTCAATACAGTGGGAGCCTTTGGGCGAAGCGAACGCAATATCCGCAATGCGAGTGTCATACAAGCACTCACGGTGGAATTTCGACGAAATATGCGATCTTTACATTTTGAGCAAAATTCACGAGGATGTGTTTTCGTAGGCTCGTAACTCGGCGATTTTTATAGACTGGAGCCTGAGTCATGCACCATTCGGTAGCATAGTTCCTAGTGACCTTGACTGAGAAAAGCAAGCAGCAAGTTTTCTGACAGATACGCGAGAAGTGCGGGCACAGTTACGCACTTTCGTGATGCAGTTACAGTCACCTCACCATATCTCCCCAGAAAAAAAAACCCTGTAATCCTCAAAGACCTTGATTTTCGTAAATAGCGTGTTCGAAAACCTTTACAAGCGAAGTTTCCTTACAATTTGAAAGCATGAACATTTTGACCAAAATCCATCGGCCAGCTTCAGATCGTAAAACGAGAAAAAATGAAATTACTCGAACATCTTGGAAAACTTGCTCATAAGGGTTATCCGACCTGCTGATTACGAAAATCACATTTGCTAAGCAAGAGAGCTTCATATTTTAGAGTTACGTTGAGAAAAATTTGGAACGACATGATTTTTCAAAAATTCACCAGCCCTTCTAGCTCCTTTGGAAAGAAGAGTGCGGCTAATTCTTAGCGCTCCATAATCTACAGAAGAAGTACTATCGAAAATTTCTTTCTGAATCTACTGGGGGCAATACGTGCTGCTTCACACCTTTGCGAATAGACGCCCGCAGAAAGTTTTGAGAATACTGGAATCGAGAAATCAAGGACATCCTGCATACCGAAAGATTTGCCTTGATGAGCTGAGCACAATGCATTTTTCGGATTCAGAAAATATTTACTCCAAAGAAAGTTACGGGGAGTAGAATCTGGAAACGAGTGATTTTTCCAGAAATTACCAACGCTTTTTTCTCTTTTGAAAAAAAGTCTGCGACAGCTTTCGAGCGCGCTATAATGTACAAGAAGAGCACTATCGAATGTTGCTTACTAGAAGCTTTCATGTTGAATAGGCGCTGCGTTACATACTTGCAAAGGGATCTCCTCAGAACAATTTGAGAAAACTGGAAACAAGATATAGATGACATGACGTATGTCGAAAGATTCGCCTTGACGAGCTGAACACAATGCTACTTTCGGATTTAAAATATATTTATTCCGAAGGAAGTTATGGCGCTGCATATTTTGCGATACTCCGGAATCGCGAAATTTCTGGAATTTCGCGAAATTCCCGTTCTGTGAGTGGTATTGTACATTGCACAGCACGCGCGGCATTCCGCGATATGTGCTTCTCATGCGATTTCCAAATTTCCCTTTGTCTTCCTGCATTTTGGGACCCGTCATACTTCGCCGAGAAAAGCCCAGTTTCACACATATCCATGCAGAATGAGCTCTCAAACTATACCTGCCCTATTTCTGCAGTGCTCAACAGAATGTGTATGTAGCCTCTGGAATCAACACACTGAATGATCCATTTACACTAAAATTCAAGGAAATAATTCACATCCCAGAACTAGGCACATCTGTGTACTGGAAGATGCGCCTCGCCGAGCGAAGTTGAATGATACTCTTATATATAGAATTCATTTCATTCAATTCAAGGTAAGGTCTTTTTTATAGAAAGGTTAGACGTTGCGCGACAAAGTTGGGCGGCAAATGCCGCTTTTCCGCCTAACTTTGTCGCGCGACGCGGCGTTTGTCACCTAACTGCGGCGGCGCCGGGTGAGTTAAATGGTGCCGCCATTTTTTTTCACAAATTACGGGTGGTATTGTAGGTGCCATAGGTGGAGCAATTTCGCTGTCCCTTTCACTTTTGGGCCGGCAGCTGGACTACTCCCCTTCACCAGAGGTTGAGACTAGGGTCAAAGCATAACGGCAGAATAAAACACCTACAAATGGTGCACATTTTGTCTGGAACCGCCAGCTGCTTCTTCTTCTCAGTCACTGCATGCCATGAATGCACTTTTGCAGCGTTTGCTGAGAAAAACGCAAGTTTTGAATTCCTGTTTCACTCAGAATGGTTTATTTCGACAGGGAAGTAAATCTATAAATCCAGAGTGTATCTGTTTTTAGGTAAGCCACATTGTTCAATGAATGTTTATTGTCGCAGGAAAGAATTGCGTAAGGATAGGAAGTCTGCTCTGTCCAGTGATGGATGCATGTTCACTGAAAAGAATCAAATTAAATATTTCCTCATTGAAGAGCATGATAGAAAGTTTCATTTGCATGCGAAGCCTCAAAAATACCTTTCCGTTTCAAAAACAGAGCATAATATTAGGTTGGTGCAAAAATAATGAGCGTTTTTATTTGCTTGCTTTAACAAAGCAACCAGACTCAACTCAACAAAGGGTAAGGGGTACTGTTCGATAGAGCAAAGCAAGC